ACTTTAACTTAAGGATTATGTCGGATAATGTTGGTCTTTTCAAAGGATTTCTATGCACGCATGCTATTGAAATGTCGTCAAGTACCGTATGGTTTTTTGTAATTGACCGTGTGATCTGGGCCAAAAGATAGCCATACGAATATATATCTGATTCACACTATTGCGGATGTGTGCCTTCTACCAGTTCGGGTGCAATGTGGCGGTGATACTTTAAATACTTTCTTTGCTCTTTAGCTGTTAAAGAATACCTCTTAGGATTAGTTATGCTACGACACTTACCGAAATCAATGACCGGGTGAGTAGCATTATTATCGTTGGATAGCAAAACGTTATCGCTTTTGAGATCGTTGTGCATAAAATCAAGCGCATCGGCAGCTTCTTTGCAAATTCTGACCCAGTCAACTTGAAGCATCGATTCCACTGCTCGTTTAAATGCGACACATTTCCCGTCAATTCCATGAAATTGTAACACAAGTCGATAGGACTTTTCTTCGAGAGGCGCCAAACAGTAATGGTAATCCTACGGTTTTTAAATGAAATGAACTTGAAAATTAATATCATAACAAATCTCAGATAATTTAATTGTTGAACATGTGGATTTTCAGTGCGTATACTTTGTCTTTGTACAATATATTTAAACTATGTTGGACAAATAATAGCATACTCGTTTCACTGACAGCAACACTGCAGACCAATTTTCTATTCACAATTTGATAAATACCAAAGAAATACATCAGGGCATTTTTTAAGGATTTGTCAGTGGAAGGGCCAACTATGAAAAGTGACTTAACTAAGATATGAATAGGGAAGAAGTGGCGATACAAAAATTCTAAGGGGGTCTGTAGGTCCTCTTCCAGAAAAACGTTAGAATTTCCGACCTCCCTAAAATTGATTTCCTGCAATTTTAATATGATTTTCTATCATTTTCAGACAAAAGGGATTTGTACTGGGGGAACCAAAACCCTTTACTGGGGGGGGGGGCAGGGGCCAACCTCCATCGCACAGACTTTCCACCTGGGGGAAGGGCAACATAGGGGCTAGGGGGGGAGGCTTTGGTACCTCCAGTATATATGCTAAAAAAGGTCCTGTAAATATATATGCACTGGTTCTAAATCTAGAGAAGTTTGACCCTAAAATATACTGCACATGGTACAGTATAATTAAACTAAAAAATAAACTATTAAAATACTTGGTTATCACTAACACAAGATGTAGTCCAGGTATATAAGCTCCCCCATGTATAAGCCCATCGAAAAATGCTGATGAACTTACATATAAGCCCAGGGCTTATAATCGGAGGTTTATGGTAATTCGAACATGCCACAAAACTTGGGAAAAAATTGCAGTTTGGAGCCGAAAATTTAGACTTTTAGTAGTTTTTATCATTTTTATGGTGTTTCTATTTTACTAAATCTTTAACAGGTTTATTAGATTTCAAACCACAAATCACAGAGGTTGATAAGACAATGGACAAAAATATAAAATAAATAAACTGAAACTGTATAAAATAAATAAGGGACCGGTCATTTATTACGGGGAGGGGGGGGGGAATGGGTCGAGAAGAAATTAAAAATTTTGACAAAACTTTCAAGGCTCCTCCCCCTCTATTTTATGGATTTTCTTAGAGGCCACCCCTTATGCATCATATAGTTTTTAAGACATCCCCTCTTCTATTACTTGAAGAACCAAACTTCTGATAGCACTGCAATCCAATAGCAGGGTAATAAAAGTAGGGGGATTGTCAAATGTTGATGGCCCATTACATCTCTAGAGGGGTTAGGAAGAATGCTCCACTGGGAAAATTTTGTAAGTCTACAGGCCCTGAAATGTGATTTCTTCCATTTTGAGGGTTTGATTATGCAAAATTCAGAAGATTCCAAAGTACACAAAACATACTATTTTTCAGGAATATCCCCATGCTTATTTTTCTCACCGTATTTGGACAGATTAAAAAATTCATCAAGGCAAATTCATCCCCCCCCCCCCTTTTCGTAATAAATGACTGGTGTCACTGGTCCTTAAAATCTGTTTCAAACAGTCTGCTAGACTTTTGAATAATTACACAGTACCTGGATGGTCAAAAAGATTCAGAACATCTGCTTCCCATTTCACTAAATCAATTTTTGCATCCTCTTGAAATGTCTTTACTGCCACTGTTATCCCTCTGTAGAACATCTTTTTACAAACACCAAAAGCACCACTCCCCAGTATTGGATTTTCATGTCTGATCTCCACCAAATTTTCACATCTTATACTTTTGGCAACTCTGAAAACAAGTATTCAACAATAATATGCAGGGTATTAGTATACACAATCTTCATTACCTCCAAGCTGCAATGGGGCAAAAGTAAAATTGTAATGTATGTAAAAGGGCAAGGGCAAAATTTTGTATCATTAGACAGAGTACAAAGTAAGTGATCATTTATTCCATTGCACTCTTTGTAAACTTATCTGCTGAACTACTGTACCATTATGTATCTCAAACATTCAGTTATCATTTAATAAACTGTACTCCAAAAGCAGTAAACAAATAATGAATGTTTTCATTTGTGCAATGGTAAAAATATTTTGATTGGGTTAAAGATAGAGTGTTCCATTGGGTCATTCCAGAAAACATCCATACTGTACAGTACCTCCCCCAAGGAGGAAATGAGAAGTTAACCACCCTACCCCCTTTGGATGTCCTAATACAATTACTATAATCACAAACAAATTTTCCACCTCCTCCCCTCCAGATGGCAGAAATTTCCCCCTTGGGGGAAGTGAGTGTTGATCTTTTCTGGAACAACCCATTAAATTCAGACCTGTTGTCTTGTTGAATGAAACATTCCATCTTTAACCTCTAAAATTGCAATATTTGAGCTGGACTTATCATAATACAAGATAACAGGAATCGCTGTCGTAACAACCTATCAAGACAATACTCAAATCTATATGGGTCTCCAAATAATTTTATGTATGTACCTGTACCTGACTTTACAGTACATATGTATTTAAATATCTTGAACGGTGGGTGTAAGTGCAGGTAAAGAAGATAACAACTTGCTGTGATGGAAAGAAATTACAACTACCTGACAAATATAATGAGAACTTTTCTTGAAATGTCAAAGTTCTCATTATATTTTTCAGGTAGTCGTAATACAGTATTTAAACACTACTTAATAATACTGTTCATATACAGTAAAGAAAGATGTTATTTGCACTTCACTTGGTTGAACTAGAATGCTGGGTTTGGTGGATAATCCAAGTGAGTATATACATCACTATATTAAGATCTAACCAGGAATGATTGCGAAAAATGCAACACCAAGTCCTTTGGTAGGAATCAAACTCACAGCCCTGCAATTCTGGAGTGGCGCTCTAACCAACTGAGCTACAGAGGCCAGTTGCTGAGCTGTAACTGTAACTTCATGTATATACAGTATAGGTAATCAGGTGTGCGGGTTGTTATAAGGTAACTTGAAAGATGTTATTTGCACTTCACTTGATTGAACTAGAATGCTGGGTTTGGTGAATAATCCAAGTGAGTATATATTGAACTAGAATGCTAGGTTTGGTGAATAATCCAAGTGAGTATATATACACTATTTTAAGACCTAACCAGGACCGATTGAAAAATGCAACACCAAGTCCTCTGGCAGGAATCGAACCCACAGCCCTGCAATTCCAGAGCAGCACTCTAACCAACTGAGCTACAGAGGCCAGTTGCTGGGCTGTATAACCGTTAATTGCATTACAGTACTGTATTTTTATGTGAAATATTTAAAATATTGTACGCTTTTGATATAACCGTAAATCGTTCTACCTAAACATTTTTCTCTTTTTTTTCTTTTCCTTTTCATATTGGATTTTATACTCCATGAATCTTTAATTCAGTTCTCGGTGCTGCTGCTCTGTTTTCGACCATATTTCGTGTTCAACTGCCTCCTTAATCTTTCTTGAATGTCTTGCATTTCTTTCGGATTTGGTCATCATTTTGTAGGCTTTGCGTTTTTTCTTATTGCGTTTCAACCTTTTTCTTCTTAGCGACTCTATACTTCAAGAAGCTTGGATAGTCGTTTCTTTGTCGATACCTGTATGTTCTTGTTGTTGTGATGAAATGGCAACATTGCTATCTGCTTTGTCTTCGAATAGTTGCTTTTGGAATAGCCTACCGTCAGCAAGCGCCTTATCACTCGCACGGTAAGCAGATAGCACCGTTCAGGCGCATCTACATGACTAAAACTACTTTACAGCATGTCCTCCAGCATTGCAAACACACAATGATTCTCGTGCTATTACCGCCATGTTTGATTCCTCCCAAGCAAATTAATTCTAATACGCGCAAAACGCAAAATACGCGCCAAATTTGTGGGGAATGGCGGGGAATGACCCCTTGCCATTGTAAAATCTTCTGTCACTCGGTCTAGACCATTACTATCGTTTATTTGGAAAATTGATTTCTTAAAGCCATCGCTATGAAAATAATTTTTCTGCCAATTCATTAATTGTCCTGCAATTCGATTAATTTCGTATTTTTTGTTCAAAAATAAGTAAGAGTTATAAACCGAGTACAAGGTTTATAACTGATATATTGACCCGAGGACGCGTAGCGTCCGAGGGGCAATATATCAGTTATAAACCGACTTACTCGGTTTATAACTAACTTATATCACACTTGCGGAGGTTTTCCAACATATTTTGTCATTTTCAAAAATTTTTAATGAAAAATTCTCGCGTTTTGTCTACAAGTTTAATCCAATCATTTATTCAAGGTCTATAAGCTAGTTATAAACCTCGGACGAACAAAGAAAACCGACGCAAGTGTGATATAATAGCAGTTATAAACTCCGGGGTAAGAAAGTGCCGTTAGGTGATTAAAATCCAGTGTCTTACATATTTTTATTTAAAATGTAACCGTTTATGCGCCAAATTTACATACAGTAATGCAAGATAGAAAGGTTAGTATATTGGTATGTTTGATATTCGTTATATCTCTATTTCATCCTACTAAATCTTACTTTCTGTAATTCCGCATTTCAATTCGTTGGAATCCGCAGTATAGTATGTTGTTGTAATTTATATAGTTTATTCAAGTCACCGGTGACGGTTGGCAAATATGGCGCAGAATTATGATGAAGTTCTTGTGGTTCTCGAAGAAGTTTCACGTGTGAACAAGCAACCTGTCAATGAGAACCGTGTTCTGAAAGAAAATCTTGAGAAGCGAGATCAAGAACAAAGAAAAATTTTGGCTGATCTTCAGCAGAAATTAGATCAGGTAACGAGCGGGAACAACCGTAGCCAAAACAGTCGAAGGAGACACACAAAAACACCACAGGTCAAAGTTCCTGCTCCTTGTCGGGTAAGCGTGTTTAACTTTTAATTTTGTTGACTTAAAGTGAACTAGAAAATCATGCTCTGTAGAACATCAGGCTTGCCAATATGTATATTGAGTAAATATGCCATGTATGTCTGTGATAGCTTGGCTAGGCAAGCTAGCATAGGCTACCACTGCCCTGGGACAGCCAGTCTCATGTGAAACAAATAAAAAACTGTTAAGCAAGGCAAGCTAGCTTGAGCTGCTGTGAGGCATTAGCTACCTTTGTTTGCTGTGATAGGCGATAGCCAACTAGTCTTATGGAAAGCAAATAACAACTGCCATGCAAGGCAAGCTGCCTTTGTTTGCTGCGACAGCCAACTAGTCTTATGGAAAGTAAGTATCAAACTGCCATGCAGGACAAGCTACATTGGTTTGCTGTGACAGCCAACTAGTCTTATGCAAAGCAAATAACAACTGCCATGCAAGGCAAGCTACCTTCATTACCTTGGTTTGCCGTGACAACCAACTAGTTTTATGGAAAGCAAATAACAAACTGCCATGCAGGACAAGCTACCTATACCTTGGTTTGCTATGACAGCCAGCTAGTCATATGGAAAGCAAATAAAAATCTGTCAAGTGGGCAAGCTAACTTGGTTTGCTGCAACAGCCAGTCTTATGGAATGCAAATATTAACGAACTGCTGCACAATTTGTTTGCTTGTTACATTATTAGTATCAGGTTCACATCTCCTACCAATATCAAATGTCTTGTATTGTTTATAGAAAAATTACCAGACAGGTGTACAACACCTTGATGAAGAAAGATGACTTTGGAGGATTCATCTTAACAGAGAGGTATTAGTTTGTCTCAATATAACCTATTGAGCACTCACAGACACATGACCTTCTTTTATGGGTAGTGCCAGATTAACCATATGGCTAGCCTGCTAACAGGCTCTCAAGGTCAAATGAGAGCCTGCACGGATGATAAACAAATTTTGAATATCCGCCTTTAGAACAGAAATCACAAAGCCCTCCTTTCAGTTTTCTAAGTACGGATTGTCTATGTTTATATGGCGTTGTATGCAACTTGTGCAAACTAAATTTAGACAATTACAGTAGGTCTATATTTATATATTTCAAATTAATCAAAATAATCAAGCAATACCGTAAACCTCCGACTATAAGCCCAGTGGGCTTATATACTTTCATATATATGGGGGGGGGGGGCTTATGCATGTACATGGACGATTTTTTGTGTTAGTAATAAGCAAGTCAGACATAAACAAGTCAGTCGTAAACACGAAAATAAACATGTATTAATAACGTGTTTTGATTCACATAGTGGGCTATAAATATTGGCATCTGTTCAAAAACAGTTCTCTGCTATATTAAAAGACAATGTCAATGTTGAGTAATGTATAGTGGGCTACTGGGCCTATATTATATTTGGGGGGCTTATATTCGGGTGGGCTTATATTCGGGGGGGGGGGCTTAAATATATTTGGAATGAGGTGAGCGTTAGTATATGTGGTGGGCTTATATTCGGGGGAGGGCTTATATTCAGGAGGGCTCACTGTATAGTCAGAGGTTTACGGTTTGTAAACATTTTATCTGTTTTAATTGCTGTTTTGCCAAATTATTTCGTTTTCATTCTTTGAAATAAAATATTTTGAGACCAAATTAATCAATCGATGTATTTTTTACAACCTGCTTCAGCAGTTGGCGTACCGGGTATGTGATTCAATAAAATATCATTGCAATATTATATGGTCAAAACCATACATCTGACCAATGAGAATTTTGCATCCAGATTTGAGACGCACATATTCAAAATTGTATGTCATCAATGCAGGCTCTCATTTTACCTATTAGCAGGCTACCATAATAGGCAGAAGTGGCATATGCCATAGGCCTTGCACTTTTAGGGGCCACACACTTGTTTTTTTCAGCCTGTTTTTCATGGCTAATTATTAAATCCTGCCTAGGAAATTTGAGGCACCCAGTCAAGTTACTGTTAAAAAAATTCATTAAGTTGCATTTCAGTTTGAACTAAGGATGAGTACAAAACATAATTTAGATTGATTAATTAAAAATTTATATTACCATGATGAGAGTCATGAGTCGTTTTCAAGGCCAAGGGGCCCTGCGCTGATATAATGCAACGGGCCCTGTGAATGTTAAATTGTTAATCAAACCCTACTGTACAGTATTTTAGGGGGTAATGTTTTTCAAGCATTTACAGTAGTTCTGCTATATATTTTTTTGATAATTCGAGTCTTTCAGTTATTTATAATGTATTAAATTGAAAATTCAACCTTGAAACTCCCACTACTTTTTGAAAATATTCAAATATCAAACCAACAAGTCCTAGAATTTTTATCTTGTAGCTTTTTGTCAAGTGCCATGCATTTCATCTCCTAAAAATAGTACACAATAGTATATAAACCAGAGTCAGCTTGGAAAAGTTACTAGTAGAGTAGTAGAAGTCAGATAAGAAAATGGCGGGAAAAGTGATTGGTTAATATTTTTACTCATATACAGTATTTGTATTTCCAGCCTTTATATTTTCGTACAATTTGATAGAAATATATTTCATTACCTTGCCACCCACTATTCCCTAAGGACTGTATCACAGAATAACAAATCTACAAGGAGTCTCACTCCAGCAAAACTAAGGCAACACCAAAACTGTGGATTGTATTAGTCAGGATGGCATGATTTGCATCAGCGAGTCAAAAGTTTTGTGGAAAAAACATCAAAGATTTCAACGCGAGTGAGACTTCTGGTAGATTTTATATTCTCTGTTCGTCAAGAATTGACTTTACATATATTTTAATTATTCTAATTTGTAGTATACACTCAGAAAGTAACAGAGCTGTTGTGGAAACGGTTTTAACTGAAACATTCGCCCAATTCAATGGGGTAGACAAAACACCCTGGTCAAGAATTGAAGGTAATGTATCCAGTTTCGTCCATTCAATACTATTTTGCTGCATTACGAAACATGATTTTTTTAACTTAACAAATCAAATTACGGTTGCATCGTACACTGTTTGTAATTTTTGGTAGTTTTAGTAGGTTTTAGTAGTTTTATCGGTTGTAGCAACCTGAAAGTAAACGCCTAAAACAGGTCTTATTTTTTTATACTAAGACTAAGTCACTTGTTTCCTATCCTGCTTGTAAATTTGCTAAAGTGATGCAATGTCATTGATTTTATCGTTTACACTCAAAATACAAGAGTCAAGAACCTTCCCAGTTAAATTAGTTATGCAATATAAGTAAAGACGTCTCTATAATATGTTATGCAAGTAAAGACGTCTCTATAATCAAGAATGTGTATTACTCGTTATTAGACAGTTTTAGATAACAAGACGCAGACGTCAAGAGGACGTGAATGTCGTCATTTGGCGCCAACTATCGTCAGCTTCTGGTTTGCGACGTCGTCTTGGACGATTTCACGTTAAATTAACAACTGTTTAAAATCAGGAAAACGTGGGAAACTAGAAAAATAAAAGCACTTAAAAGCAGTAAAAACTCAATCAATTGTCACAACAGTGCCAAAAAAGTGGGACAAGGAAAAAAACGCTTTCCAGCGTGAAAAACTATCGTAAACAATATTAAATTTTACCAATATAAACACTGATGCTATATTTATACTGAACAGTTGACAAACATGATTGAATAGGCTACAATTAGCTCCTAAACAATACCTGCAGCTGTTGTATTTATTCCAAATGATGCAACAAAGTTCACTATTCAAAATACCGAAATATAATTTTTTTCTTGAAAAAACTTATTGAATGTCCATACTAATTCATCAGGAAACACTTGGCCAGTACTATACAGCCTTTTCTTGCACATATCTTGACAACTGATTAAAAACAATACAGGAATGAACAGGTAACAAGAAAGCAAAAATTTGCTTCGAAAAAGACAAACAAGCCGTCCCAGATTAAAGCCCGGAAGTGAACGCGAGGTGCATACGTCATTTTCACGTCCTCTTGATGTCCGCGTCTTGTTATCTAAAACCGTCTAATACTAAAAAACACCACGTATTGGATTGCAGAAACCAAATTCTTGTATTTTGGCTGTAATAGCTTGAGCATGTGAGAAAAATGAGAGGCTTGCCCTATTGGCTTATTAATAACTGGGTTTTTTTTCGTTTGCGTTGCTCAACAACTTTTCACAAAACAAATTTAGTGCGGATTGTGGAGTACATGTATTTAATGCAAGTTTACGGTATACACATTTTGTCTTAACAAAATACATTCTCTAGTGTCAAAACATTTAAATCTTACCTCTTTAGTCACTATTCTATGTTGGTATCAACTGTATTTTATGTAAACTTGTTATGTACTTGGTCTATGTTACGTGATTGTCCTTGTCATAGGAGTAATTGTGTTAATGTATACATTTGTTATCAGTATTTAGTAAACTATATTTGCATGTATTTTATCGGAAAGGGTACCTTGCATGGGTAGTGTAAATTATTTACGTTCCGTTTGCACCTCTTCCATTTGGGTAATATCTGTTCCGTGCATGCATACTGTAGTATGTAATTGTAAACAATTATGTCATATTTACCCAATAAAGTGTATAAACTAAACTAAACTACTTTTCTGTACTATACTGCACAATGAACACAGGGTGATATAGAAATTATTGTAAAGCTTCCTTTTTCTGTTTTACCAGTTGCGTTGAAGAGATATTTTGTCTCCCAATACGAATTAGAAAAACAGAAAAGCGAGGGAAAATATGAACAGCACAAAAAGAAATGCAGAAGGCAGGGAAGGAAAAGAGATGTAAGTACAGACAGTTACTGCATGCAGTAATTCACTTCAATATTTTAAATTGGACAATTTTTTTTCTTAATAACCAGCATTGTACACAGCCACAGTGCTGTATATATTCACTGCCACTGGTTAATAGGCAAATTCGCAATTACGTACGCCATATTGCAAAAGGGGGCAAACACAATAGAGAGACAAAGGTTTTAGCATTTCATTTCGTTGTATTGTATTGTATTGTATTGTATTGTATTCCCATTGCAAAGAGGCATTGTGTTTGCCCCCTTTTGCAATATGGCGTCCGTAACTTCGAACTTGCCAATTCGCGACCGTGTTGCCATTGCGGATTATTTAAATCTCTAAAGATAAAGAAATAGTAAAGTATATTGTAACATCTTAAGTCTCAGCCTGGAAATCTTTTGGAGATTCGCTGCTGTATACAGCTAATTCAATTACGGTTGTCCTTCCAAAACCTTAAGCCTTAAACTCTGAGCACGCAAGGGATAATGGGTTTTCACCTATTAGACCCTTAAGCTCAGAAAATTGCCTTTGCAGCAAATATGTTTTCTCTCGTGAGTCATACACGGCTAAAAACGCACAGGTTGTTCCAAGTTGATATCAACAGGCGTGAACAATGTTGTGTGGCCAACTATGAACAAGTTGTCAACCATGTTGTTCCAAGTTGTTACAGTTGAACAATGTTGTAACAACATGTTGACAATACTGTTCATAGTGGGCCGCACAACCTTGTTCACGCCTGTTGATATCAACCTGGAACAAGTTGTTGATTTTCTCAATTTTTACGCGTGTATATGTCTTACAATAGATATTCTTGCAAAGCGAAATTTCAAAGTCTATGAGTCAAAATAAGCAATAACCCATCATCCCTTGCGTGCTCAGAGTTAAAGGTTTAAGCTTTTGGAAGGATAACTTTAATTGAATCAGTTGTATGCTAAACTTTGAGGCTATTTTCATTCAGGCTTTTTGTACATTGGCTAAAGTATCCCAATATTTTTTGCAATGCCAAATATATTTGTAAAGCCCTGGGCAAACTAGGAAACATCGTTGCGGAAACATTGTCAACAAACAATGTTTTTCTATGCACAGTATATTCCATTTGCTTGATAAATTTAAATGTCAAGACAGTCAAGTTCTTGAAATAGATCCTCCATTCTATTTTCGGCCTTTTGTGTACACGTTTTTATAGAAACTTAACGTTCTGATTACGGAAGCTGACCAAACGCACACTTGCCCTGGAGAAAGCAGATTTAACTACCAGAAAACGAGGAAGGGCGGCAGAAATACTGGTAGAAGATGCGATGTCTAGTGAAGAAAGCTGCGTGGAAGAAGATGAAAACGGAAGAAATAAGGTTGTGGGGTACAAAGTAAAGCGATTGTCGTGGGAAAGCAGCAAATTAAGAAAAATCAAGAAAGCATTGGATAAGTCAATGAGGGAAGGACAATCGCAAAGGGCAAGGGATAGAGCTCTTCCAAGAACAGATCACGAAGAAAAATCGACTAGGTTGCCCCCTGAAGGGTTCCCTGAATGGGCAATTTCCCAGGAATGACCTTTAAATTAGATATATTTATACGGTATAATTAATTGTAGCACTATTGGGTTGGCTTTTTCACAGGGGGATTTAAATGCCGTTAGGTATACTCCATGAAAGTTAGGTTCATTTATTGGGGACAAAAATCAAAACAGTATATGTGCGTGACAAGCAAAATTCTTAACAGTATACTGTATGATGTTGTGGCTCATTTAAAATGCAACAAACAAAACATATGGGTGCTTAAAACGCGGTAATTAATTTAGTAAGACGAATTTCGAAGGTAAAGACTTTTTAATTTATTAGCATCAAATTGACGTCTTGATTATACTGTATGAGACACGTATTACGTATGTAGTGACTTATTCTGTCCCACGTAAATGCCCTACTATTAGCTAGGTTATACTTTGCAAAACATGTACACTTAGCGGCGTTTGTTAATATTTCAAGTAATTTCCAATGATACTGTAGAGTGTGTAAAATTATAATATATATCTGCCTAAAAATGGTGATTTTGTGTCTCTTTTTCCTGTGATTTTTAATGTATTTGCATGTTTACGGGTTATAATATACCGTCGTTATGACTTTTTTAACCACAGTTCCAATGCGAATTGCTAATGAACGTAACGGCGTCATTTTGGAAGGATATCTTTAAGGCCTTTAAAGTGTAATATACCCTTCCGGAAAGTACGTCACTTTGGCTATAGAGCCTCGTTTTCGTGTATCAGACATCAGTTAAAGGCCGCGTCGCATTCACGAAAACGAGGCTCTATAGTGACGTATTTTCCGGAAGCACGTATTGTATGAAATTCAAGATAGTCATCGTATACTATTTTAAAATAATATAACTTAAAGCTGCCTTATTTTTATCGAAAAGCGAACTTTCAGCCACAAAAAGATGAGATATTAAAGGCTTCTTAAAGACTAAGTGGTAATTTAATGTTTCTTTTGGGTTCCTTTAATGAAACTTAAAGATCCATTTCCTAGCTTTTAAGGTTTAATTCTAAAGCTTCACGAAAAGCTATTTTCATGAACTTTAGGTAACATTTAAGAAATATCAGAAATGCGTCAATAGTTTGCTTTAAGTGAATCATTAAATTTTCATTAAAGTATCCTTCTATAACTTTAAGGATACCCTAAAAGTCGCCTGAAATGTTCCAATAGTTTAACTTTAATGACGGTTTCAGGTGACTTAAATATTTAATTTTGTCCTGTGTTTGTATCTGAACAATCATGTCAAAAAAACTACAGCATAAAAAATGCTACATTCTAATCTTATATCAAGTGATATTTTAACTTGGAATCCTCAGGGTGAGATTGTTTATCATGGAAGAGACATTCCTGGTACTAACATCGAGAACTTTTTACAATACGCACTTTTACCATACAACTCTCACATTCCTGAACCACGAGGGCTCGACCTGTTTACAAAAGGCCTAGTAGAAGCAGGGGTTAATAAAGATTTGATTAAAAATGAGTATTTATTGTCAAAAATGGCAAAGGAGGAACATGAAATGCCGCAATCTGAGAGTGATGTTGAAAGCGAATCTGGTGAAGAGAACAGGGAATCTGACAAGAGTGATAATGAAAGCGAATATGATGATAATGAGGATGATGATAATGAGGATGATGATAATGAGGATGATGGTGAGCCCGAGAAACTAGCTTGTAACCATTGTGGAGAAGAGACTGGTCACATTGTATACTTAATGAAGTGCCCAAGATATTCGTGGAAAGATTTCTACTGGGGCAAAGACGCTCAATGTATGATATGTGATGAACAGTCACCTCTACTGTTTTCGCATGTCATTGGTTTCTGCGAGCTATGTTCGTATGGTACGTCTAACAGCAAGGCGGGCGGATTGGAGTTCACACCAAAAATGGACAAATAAAAGACCCAGCAGATTGGACCGAACGTGACCTAGCGCGAATGACTCCGGAAGTAAAAGAGAAAATTATGAACGTTTTATATTGAGCGATAGACCGAAATATATTCCAATGAAGCCGGAAAAACTTGCAAAGTTATCCCCAGAAGATAGACAAGAATATGAGAACTCTTTAAAAATAACAAAAACACCTAGACGTTACGCTCTTAGAAGTAGACCTTACTAAATTTTGTAAAACGCTTTGAAGAAATAAATGTATTTAAAAACTGAAATATTGTGTAAATTTTTGCCGGCAAAGCCCGCTCTTTCCACCCGCGCGAAAAGATCCGTGTACAAATATGTTGTACTTTAATATATGCATGCACCCGCAAAGCGACGCGCCTGATTTTAAGGTATACACCGGCGTTAAAAATAATCCCTATCTATCCATTGGGATACACCCAGTTATGCAAATTCGTATTGCCTTAATCCCCTTAATTACCTACACACCTCCTAATGACTTAGCAACAGATAACAACACAACATTTGTAAAGTTTAAAACATGTTTATTGATACAAATAACAGACGATAGTGTAAAAAATATTACAACTAAAACTATTTGTTAAACTGTTCTATAAGTTTTTTCTCCATGAGTTCTTGATAAGCTTTCTTATGATCTGCCTCAAAACTTCTAAATCGTTCACCCGTCGCCTTCACAGAATACATGTAAATCGGTGGGTAAGAGAAAAACGCTTCAGCAACGGACTCGAGTGGGTCTTCTAATCTCCAATGAAACAAATAGTTCAGTATGCATTGTAGTTCGTGGTTCTAAGTGTTCTGATGTAGTTCCATCAATGAATCGACAAACGTAGAATCTGGATCTTTTGCCGAGCTTTCACTTCAAATAGAGGAACTTCCTTTTCAAAGGGAAGATCTCCCTTTAGTCGGCCGGCCAAGGTGGCAAAAAGTGCCTCTAAAGAGAGTTTGATGGCAACTTTATGTTAGATGCTGGTAACAGGCATTTTCTTATAGTTCAAGCCTTGGTGAATAAGACTGTGTGTGTTACCACTTCTGATTTTTGCTTTATAGCCAAAAAATTGAGAATTTTAAAATTTTGCCTATTAAATTACTATGATGGCAAAAAATGTAAAATTTCATGTTCTCTTATACAAAAAATAAACTATACCACTAGAAACACTGCAAAAAACAATATATAAGATAATTAAGCGACTAGTGCGATTTTCAAGCCGATTTTGAATTAAAGATGGTTAAAGTTGGCAAAATGGGTACTAATTAGCATTAATTTGGTCATTTCTGCATTTTTTAACATTAAAAACTCGAAATAGGATTGAAAAACGTAGAACTCACTTAATTGTCTTATATATAGTTTTTACGCTCTTTCTAGTGGTATAGTTTATTTTTCGTATAAGAGAACGTGAAATTTTACTTTTTTTCCGATCATAGTAATTTAATAGGCAAAATTTAAAAATTCTCACATTTTTTCTATAAAGCAAAAATCACAAGTGGTAACACATATAGTCTTGTTAACCAAGGATTGAACTATAAGAAAATGCCTGTTACCAGCTTCTAACATAAAGTTGCCATCCAGTTGTAAAAATTGATGACTTGGCCGGCCGTCTACTTTTCAAATAGCAGAATTCCCCTTCAAATAGAACTCCCTGTTCAAATAGAGGAGCTTTCATTCAAAATTCTCCCTTTCAAAGTGCAGATTTCCCTTTTCAAAAAACAGAACTTCAAATTCGCATAGAAGAACTGCCTTTTCAAAGAGCTGAACATCCCTTTTCAAATGGCGGATCTTTCTTTTCAAAGAGCAGAACTGCCTTTTCAAATAGCAGAACTCCCATTTCAATAAGGCGAACTCCTTTTCAAATAGAAGAACTCCCATTTAAATAGCAGAACTCCCGCTTCGAATGGCAGAACTCCCTTTTCACATACCAGAACTCCTATTTTAAATAGCAGGAGCCCCTTTCAAATATAAGAACTCCAATATCAAATACCAGAACTCCCATTTCGAATGGAACAACTGCTTTTTCAAAAAGTAGAACTCCTTTTCAAATAGAAGAACTCCCTTTTCAAATAGCGGATCTTTCCTTTCAAATAGCAGAACTCCCTTTTCAAATACCAGAACTTCTATTTCAAATAAAAGAACCCCCTTTCCAATAGCACACCTCCCTTTTCAAATACCAGAACTCCTATTTCAAATCGCAGAAGCCCATTTCAAAAAGAACTCCCATTTCAAAAAGCAGAACTCCTATTTCGAAGAGAAGAACTCCCTTTTCAAAGAGCCGAGCTCCCTATTCAAATACCAGAACTCTCCTTTAAACTAGTGAAGCTTTCCTTTCAAATAGCAGAGCTCCCTTTTCAAATAGCGGAGCTTTCTTTCAAAATGGCAGACCTCCCTTTCAAAGTACAGATCTCCCTTTTCAAAAAACAGAACTCCAATTTCGAATAGAAGAACTGCCTTTTCAAAGAGCTGAACTACCTTTTCAAATAGAAGGACTCCCTTTTCAAATGGCGGATCTTTCTTTTCAAAGAGCAGAACTAACTTTTCAAATAGCAGAACTCCCTTTTCAATAAGGCGAACTCCTTTTCAAATAGAAGAACTCCCATTTAAATAGCACAACTCTCGCTTCGAATAGCAGAACTCCCTTTTCACATACCAGAACTCCTATTTTAAATAACAGGAGCCCCTTTCAAATATAAGAACTCCAATATCAAATACCAGAACTCCCAATTCGAATCGAAGAACTGCCTTTTCAAAAAGTAGAACTCTCTTTTCAAATAGAAGAACTCCCTTTTCAAATAGCGGATCTTTCCTTTCAAATAGCAGAACTCCCCTCTCAAATACCAGAACTCCTATTTCAAATAGCAAAAAGCGCTTTCAAATAGCAGAACTGCCTTTTCAAATACCAGAACTCCTATTTCAAATAGCAAAAACCGCTTTCAAATAGCAGAACTGCCTTTTCAAATACCAGAACTCCTATTTCAAATAGCAGAACCCCATTTCAAATGGTAGAACTCCCATTTCAAAAAGCAGAACTCCTATTTCGAAGAGTAGAACTCCATTTTCAAAGAGCAGAGCTCCCTCTTCAAATAGCGGAACTTCATTTTCAAAGAGCAGAATTCCCTTTTCAAATAGCAAAACTCCCTTTTCAAATATCAGAACTCCCTATTCAAATAGCAGAACTCCCATTTCAAATAGTAGAATTCCCTTGCCAAATAACAGGACTCCCTTTTCAAAGAGCAGAACTCCCTTGTCAAATAGCAGAAATCCCTTTTCAAATAGAAGAACTGCCTTTTCAAATACCAGAACTCCTATTTCAAATAGCAGAATCTCCTTTCAAATAGCAGAGAACTCCCGTTTCAAATAGCAGAACTCCCTTTTCAAATAGCGGAACTCTCTTTTCAATTAGCGACACGATAAAACAGAACTCCCTTTTCAAATAGCGGAACTTTCTTTTCAAATAACAGAACTCGTTTTTCAAATACCAGATCTCCTATTTCAAATAAAAAAAAACCCTTTCAAATAGCAGAACTTCCTTTTCAAATAGCAGAACTACATTTTCAATTAAGAAAACTCCCTTCCCAAATAGAAGAACTCCCTTTTCAAAAAGCAGAACTCCCGTTTCAAATAGCAGAACTCCCTTTTCAAATAGCAGAACTCTCTATTCGATTAGCGAAGCGAAAAACAGAACTCCTTTTTCAAATACCGAACTTCTTTTCAAAGAGCAAAACTCCCTGTTCAAATAGCGGAGCATTCTTTTGAAATAGCAGAACTCCCCTTTCAAATAGCGGAACTTTCTTTTACAATAGCAGAACTCCCTTTTCAAATGGCGGAGCATTCTTTTCAAATAGCAGAACTCCCTTTTCAAATAGCCGAACTTTCTTTTCAAATAGCAGAACTCCCTTTTGAAGTAGCGGAGCATTCTTTTCAAATAGCAGAATTCCATTTTCAAATAGCGGAGCATTCTATTCAAATAGCAGAACTCCCTTTTCAAATAGCGGAGCATTGTTTTCAAATAGCAGAACTCCCTTTTAAAATGGCGGAACTTTCTTTTCAAATAGCAGAACTCCATTTTGAAGTAGCGGAGCATTCTTTTCAAATAGCAGAATTCCATTTTCAAATAGCGGAGCATTCTTTTCAAATAGCAGAAGTCCCTTTTCAAATAGCGGAGCATTCTTGTCAAATAGCAGAACTCCCTTTTGAAATAGCGGAACTTTCTTTTCAAGTAGCAGAACTCCCTTTTCAAATAGAGGAATTTCGTTTCAAATAGCAGAACTCCATTTTCATATAGAGGTGCATTTTTTCCAAAAGCAGAACTCCCTTTTCAAATAGCGAACTTCTTTTCAAATAGCAGAAATCCCTTTTCAAATATCGGAGCATTCTTTTGAAATAGAAGAACTGCTTTTTCAAATAGCGGAGCATTCTTTTCAAATAGCAGAACTCCCTTTTGAAGTAGCGGAACTTTCTTATCAAATAGCAGAACTCCCTTTTCAAATAGCGGAGCATTCTTTTCAAATAGCGGAACTCCATTATCAAATAGCGGAACTTTCTTTAAAAACGGCAGAACTCCCTTATCAAATAGCGGAATTTCTTTTCAAATAGCGGAACTCCCTTTTCAAATAGCGGAGCATTCTTTTGAAATAGCAGAACTCCCTTTTCAAATAGCGAACTTCTTTTCAAATAAGAGAACTCGTTTTTCAAATACCAGATCTCCTATTTCAAATAAAAAAAAACCTTTCAAATAGCAGAACTTCCTTTTCAAATAGAAGAATTCCATTTTCAATTGAGAAAACTCCCTTCTCAAATAGAAGAACTCCCTTTTCAAAAAGCAGAACTCCCGTTTCAAATAGCAGAACTCTCTATTCAATTAGCGAAACGAAAAACAGAACTCCCTTTTCAAATACCGAACTTCTTTCCAAATAGCAAAACTCCCTGTTCAAATAGCGGAGCCTTCTTTTGAAATAGCAGAACTCCCTTTTCAAATAGCGGAACTTTCTTTTACAATAGCAGAACTCCCTTTTCAAAAGGCGGAGCATTCTTTTCAAATAGCAGAACTCCCTTTTCAAATAGCCGAAGTTTCTTTTCAAATAGCCGAACTCCCTTTTGAACTGGCGGGGCATTCTTTTCAAATAGCAGAATTCCATTTTCAAATAGCGGAGCATTCTATTCAAATAGCAGAACTCCCTTTTCAAATAGCGGAGCATTCTTTTCAAATAGCAGAACTCCCTTTTCAAATAGCGGAGAATTGTTTTCAAATAGCAGAACTCCATTTTGAAGTAGCGGAGAATTCTTTTCAAATAACAGAACTCCCTTTTCAAATAGAGGAACGTTCTCCTCAAGTAGCAGAAGTCTCTTTTCGTGTAGCGGAACTTTCTGCTCAAGTAGCAGAACTCTCTTTTCAAATAGCAGAAATCCATTTTCAAAGAGCGGAGCATTCTTTTCCAATAGCAGAACTCCCTTTTCAAATAGCGGAGCATTCTTTTCAAATAGCAGAACTCCCATTTCAAATAGCGGAACTTTCTTTTCAAACGGCAGAACTCCCTTTTCCAATAGCAGAACTCCCTTTTCAAATAACGGAGCATTCTTTCCAAATAGCAGAATTCCCTTTTCAAATAGCGGAGCATTCTTTTCAAATAGCAGAACTCCCTTTTCAAGTAGCGGAGGATTCTTTTCAAATAGCAGAACTCCCTTTTCAAATAGCGGGGGATTCTTTTGAAATAGCAGAACTCCCTTTTCAAATAGCGGAACTTTCTTTCCAAATAGCAGAACTCCCTTTTCAAATAGCGGAGCAATCTTTTCAAATAGCAGAAGTCGCTTTTCAAATAACGGAGCATTCTTTTCAAATAGCAGAGCTCCCTTTTCAAATAGCGGCACTTTCTCCTCAAGTAGCAGAACTCTCTTTTCAAATAGCGGAACTTTCTCCTCAAGTAGCAGAACACTCTTTCCAAATAGCGAAGCATTCTTTTCAAATAGAAGAACTCCCTTTTCAAATAGCGGAGCATTCCTTTCAAATAGCAGATCTCCAATTTCAAATAGCGGAACTTTCTTTTCAAACGGCAGAACTCCCTTTTCAAATAGCAGAATTTCTTTTCAAATAGCAGAACTCCCTTTTCAAATAGCAGCGCATTCTTTTGAAATAGCAGAACTCCCTTTTCAAATAGCTGAACTTTCTTTTCAAACAGCAGAACTCCCTTTTCAAATAGCGGAGAATTGTTTTCAAATAGCAGAACTCCCTTTTCAAATGGTGGAGCATTCTTTTCAAATAGCAGAACTCCCTTTTCAAATAGAGGAACGTTCTCCTCAAGTAGCAGAAGTCTCTTTTCGTGTAGCGGAACTTTCTTCTCAAGTAGCAGAACTCTCTTTTCAAATAACAGAAATGCATTTTTAAAGAGCGGAGCATTCTTTTCCAATAGCAGAACTCCCTTTTCCAATAGCAGAACTCCCTTTTCAAATAGCGGAGCATTCTTTTCAAATAGCAGAACTCCCATTTCAAATAGCGGAACTTTCTTTTCAAACGGCAGAACTCCCTTTTCCAATAGCAGAACTCCCTTTTCAAATAACGGAGCATTCTTTCCAAATAGCAGAATTCCCTTTTCAAATAGCGAACGTCTTTTCAAATAGCAGAACTCCCTTTTCAAGTAGCGGAGGATTCTTTTGAAATAGCAGAACTCCCTTTTCAAATAGCGGAACTTTCTTTTCAAATAGCAGAACTCCCTTTTCAAATAGCGGAGGATTCTTTTGAAATAGCAGAACTCCCTTTTCAAATAGCGGAACTTTCTTTTCAAATAGCAGAACTCCCTTTTCAAATAGCGGAGCATTCTTTTCAAATAGCAGAAGTCGCTTTTCAAATAACGGAGCATTCTTTTCAAATAGCAGAACTCCCTTTTCAAATAGCGGAACGTTCTCCTCAAGTAGCAGAACTCTCTTTTCAAAGAGCGGAACTTTCTCCTCAAGTAGCAGAACTCTCTTTTCAAATAGCAGAACTCCCTTTTCAAATAGCGAACTTCTTTTCAAATAGCAGAACTCCCTTT